CCGCCAGGTTGCGCGATGCGAATGTTCAGTTCATGATCAGCACACAACTGAAATAGTCGATCTCCGTTGTCTGTGTGGCGAGCATGGACTACGAATTGACCGTCAAAATGTGATTCTAAGGAGCTGAGACGACCTACTTGAGCATTCAAATCGTCTGCAAGGATTACACTGTCATTGATTTTTGCTTGACAAATGAACCCGGATAGCTATCGATAGAAATATCCTTTTCAGCATCAGAACTACAGCCCGCTAGGGCATAAGCGGACACTACAAACAGGCTTGATTGATTTGGATAACCGGATGGCGCAAAGACGACTGTCTACTGGGTTCCAATCCAGCAAAGCGCGTTCAACTCTGGGACTGAGTGCAAATCCCACGTCATATTTTCCGAGAGTCATCGCTTCTGGGTCACCAGACACACGGAGGGAGAAATGACGTTCTTAGATGCATAACAACGTTTGGGTCCTATATGCGTGTTTCGGAGACACAGCACAAATTTGAAGGGAGTATAAGGTTTCAGCACGCACTACCTGTTTTCCAGTTCGACATAGAGTACAGACGTTAAATGCTCTTGTGTAGAAAGGATTTTGTGGATTAAGAAAAGTGTTATTTTGTTTATCGCTAATAGGCGGCGAGGAGCATAAGGCCTTCCAGTCAGATAACTGACAGTGGAATAACCCCAGCACTTGTAGACACCGAACTTCGCGGGCAAATGATACTTCCCGGTTGGTCAGACCGAGGAAGGGGGTTTGGTTGAGGTACCCCACTTTGAGCTTTTGACTCAAAAGTCTGGCAAACAAGGCATTGGGAGAATGTAGGGTTTTTTCGGGTACCCTGCCCCTAGTCTCTGGCTCACGAGGCAGCGGACAGTATGGTTTTCTTTGGGGAATCTACCCGGGGCTGATGACTCAAAAGTGACCTGCTCGACTGCGGAGGGTTGGCCTAACCCGAGGGCACAGGGAATAAGGTATTACTGTCTCATTCCTGACGGGGCTGCGCAGCGACGGACTATATTTTTAAGAGGATTTCGACCGTATTGAATAATGTGCTAGCGGTCGCGGTCAACCTTTGGGCGATCGGAGTGTGCAAGTTTGGAGCCAACCTTTTCTAACCCGTCCTTCCCCCGGGGGAAGGCAGCATCGCTGCTTCCATAAATATGGACATGTTGGTCGCCTAGGTAACACACCTTACTACCTTCACACTCCTACCCAAACCGCCTCATAATGTGGGGTCTCTCTGCTCTTGGTCTGGCTGCTCCCCTTTGGCCTTCCTGGCATGGTTGCACCTTGTGGAACGAAGTTCCAGCCAGTGTAGCCCGCGGGATCGCTGCAGCACTCAAGCCCGACCACCACGTCAAGGTGGCAGCTTTAGATCGGGTCTGAGAGTAGTGGTAACAAGCTCGTCTTGAACTTTGAAGTTCAAACCTCGGCACGACCGTGGGTGTACATTGCCGATGTGTCGGGTCTAGTGCTTCCCCCTGGTGAGGTCCCACTAGAATAATTACTCCAGGACTGGGGAGGACTATCTAGACGAGAGTGATATGAGTGTGAACTTCGGTTGTATTAAAGGGAGAGAGAGCAGACCCTCATTGCGGCACTGGAATCATTTTACAGCATAAGATTTCCCGTGTCGCGCACTGAACTCGATCAATCTATCCAATGTTTGGTGTTTTCGGGACCGCTTGCATATTTCGCTATCCTTGACTAATTGAGGAACTTCCAGTATCTTCAGATAAGTTAAATACACACACACACCCGTGGCTCGTGTGATCGGAATGCTATGGCACACTTGTTCATCGAATACCAAAAACAAATGTATGCTGCGCGAAAGACCTAGCTAGTTGACGTCCAATAACCTGCTCGCTTGATGAGAAAACCCAAACCGTACGGTTGAATCAGCAAAAGTACGAAGACATCTTACCAAAGCAAACTACGTAAGACGGTGTGTGCGAGAACATGTTTGGGCGACCGACCCAGCTAGTCCACCATAAAGTTCTCTCGCTCTAATCACTTGCCCGTTATTCGGGCGAGATGGCTCAAGTAGAGCGCGAATTTACTGTCCGATGATCTGTAGTTCGAACCCGACCTCTGCCTCTCGACTTTCCCTGTCTGGGCTTGGGCAACTTGGCAGTATCCCAGCCCTCGTGTTTCCTTTCGGGTGGCTGGCAGGTAGGCACCGAGCGTTACAGTCGAAGGCCTCCCCGTAATTACTCGGCCTCTAAGAGGACTGCTTGGCGAGAAGAGTCCCCAAATCACCATCGATCTGACCGTGTTATGCTGCAATTTTACGAAATAGTAGGGGGAAGGGACAAACTACTCAATAACGCGCGCCGCTATCGCCTTCGTTCTCTATCCAAAGAATTATGCGCATATTTTTCCCAGTCTTGGTTTCCATCGGTCACAATGACAAACGGCGAGAGCTGCACCATGGGCATTGTTCGACTTCCTTCACTCTAACTGTGTTAAACAATAAGCCCAGTCTCACGTCAGTTTGGAGAGCGACTGTATACTTGGACTAATTTTCGTTTCAAAGCATTTCAGAAACGACAACGTAGCTCTGGAGGAGAATCCGTTACTAAGATAGCGTAGTACTGTCAGCAAGTAGCACAGATTTTTCAGTCGCTTAATAAAGGCTGATTTAAATATTAAGGGTATATTCTATACCCATTCTTATGTTGTTTTGGTGTAATGTCAAGCTACAGCCATCTGTTTCCATTCTCCTTGACTCTTGTGCAAGGATGAACTGGGATCTCGTAACTGCCCGTACGAGTCGTTAACGCTTTTTACAGAGATAAATTCAATGTTCATTCTAGTCATTGAGTAGTCTAAGAGCTTGCCGCTGCACTACCTCGCTTCACTTGATTTTGTAGACAAAAGAGCCATTGTATTTACAACACTGACACTCGCTTGTCTACGGGCGGTTAAATCTGGTATTGCAGTTCCCAGTCGGCCGAAAGTCCTATGAAATCCCCAGCAGAATGCCGGGTCCTGAAAGTAATCCGACGGGACTATGGATGTTAGGAAATCGTTGGTCTCGCTCTTCTACCGATTTTCTGAAAACATCGATTATGATGCCTATCTTCCTATTGTTAGTAGGTGTCAGATGTCTACACATGATGTGTCGTGAGACGATAATCTCACCGATGACAAGAAAGCCAGTTCCACGTCCTCTACAGGTTACGGCACCCACTTAGGTGTTGTGCTTTTCTGGTCACCTATGGGAAATCCACATGTTAGTGCAACAAGATGTCACCGTTGGAAAGAACCAGTCCTTTTACTGGTATTTTCAGTTGCGCTCACTATACGGGTTGTAGCGGCGATACCTTGAGGTTACGTTTTATATGATGCCATCCAGAGATTTGGATCGGCTGTGGTCTCTCTGGGTCAAATGAGTTGGCGGATACCCGTCAGCTTTCTGTGGTGAGCAGTGCAAGCTTACTGGCTTTACCCGTAAAGACCTCATCGTCCCGCTTCCTAATCCGATGTAAATGAGGCTAGTCCTTTCAATTTTCGTTTTTGGACAGAGACGTGATTGCTTACACTGAACTTCCCGTCATGGGCTTCGTTCGCGTGCAGGTGACGGTACCGAAGCTGCAGACCAAAGTATATCATCGTTGATGGCAACACTGGTGCTTCAACACCGCGACAACCATATCATTTTATTTGAATTAAGCCTTATAATCGAAATAAAGGAATGGAGAAGTTAAGGGTACCTGTGGATAGCTTAAAACAAACACCTGAAGCATTTAAACCACCGACAGTCAGACAATTCGAATAGAAGCTGACATGGGTCATCCGTCATAACGTTCAGTGTCTCCATCTAAGAACCGAGAGGGTAACATAGACCCCATCCTGGAAAAGGGAACAGCTCCAGTTTTCGTAACATCCTTCACTCCTTTCATGTCATAATATACGCCTATAGGTTTCCGTCACTCTGAATGAGACACGGAAAAAAGCGCTCATCTCCGTGGAAGTAAATCGAAATGCGTAAAACATGACCCGACCACCTTAGTTTGCAACTCTGGATGCAATTTTTGAAATAGGTACCGTCTACTTCACTCAAAGCCCGTCACCTGATTCCGAATTATTTGGTTCCAGCCGATTCCAGCTATAATTCTGAGATATCAGCAGTCAGATTCCCGACCGAAGTGGTCACATCTCGCAGCCGTTTAATAATACAATCCGCACTGCAGTCGGGTGAACACAAGTGATGCGAATCGGCAAAAGCAATTCTGGCCTCTGAGATTCGTGCGTCGACTTGCCGGCCAAGAACTTACCGCGGTGTGTTTGCACCTCCATAACCTATTGAGCTATACTGGGGAGTGTGCGCGCGATACTCATAGAGCCTCTCATATCAGGTTGGTTAATGGGTAGAGGTCTAACACAATCTCCTGGTCTTTCAGGCTGGGGGTCGGGACGTGTGGCAACTTCATACCTAAGAATATAGGCTGATCTGACAGCCTTACGCCAACCATCGCTACCTTGCGGTTAGGCTTTCGAGCTGAAAGATTTCGCTGAGGACCCTGATCGTCCTACTGTCTTTATCCGTGGGTGCCTTGGCAGTATCACAGCCGACGTACAACCATGGAATGCACACTTACAAGTAATCATACAACATCGAACGTCGCGTGGCACCATCAGCAAGGTAATCTAACTCACCGTACAAAACAGTGCGTAAGCGAAAATAGACAAATGCTGATGTTTCTCCTCTCCTTTCTCGCATGTTCACTGTTCTTCCCCTCCTCGCCCCGTTGCTAGCAACATCTCCATAGACTAAAGGATAGCAGCAGTGAATCATTGATGAACCAAGACTCTCCAAAATGTCGGAGACAAGCACTACAGCGACCCCTCTATGGCACCCGAAAACGGGCCTCGAACCACAGACGCTATCATTGAGGTCGCCCAATGGAGCTTCAAAGGATGAAAACGGGTCGGTCGGTACCCGATATCAGATAATTTGGTGGTCTGAAACAATAAGAACGTTGTTGAGCGTCATTGTTTCCAGACTGTTGGTATCTTAAACCCGCCGGGAATCAAAATGAACAGTGCAACAGGAAAATCAGTTTCTGTTTGAGTTCCATATAAAGGGGTGCACCATCGGGACTGAACTGAGCGGTTTAACAGGTTTGGACTAGACAAGCGAGGACTGAGCGGGAGACATTTGACGGGTAAAATACTGGTTATAAAAAGGGCCGAATAGATAGTTGACGGTGGGTCTACAGGTTACTAGATACCTGGACAGGAAATTCGAAGAGAATGGAGGAATGGGGGCGGAAATCGATGATCAGAAGCAAAGGCAAACTTAAAATTAGAAAGGATTACGAAAGTTATGGGGTTATGGTGGGGCATTAGGTAATGATCATTGGACACTGCAGTCGACAGATAGCAACCCGTCCTCCCGAAGAGGCCCTACTGACTGCAAAAGATATGCCACCGCCCTTACCATGTAGGACATGGTTCCGAAGCGACCAGCTGGAGGTGTGTTATAAAAGTGTTGACATACGTTGTGTAGTCCGTGGCAAGCCAATGGGCCAGGTTGGCGAGCGGCAAGAGCTTTGCTGACCTCTGTGATATTTTGTTCTTTCAATACTTTGGCACAACATAATGTCGCATTTGCGTCATACTTGACCTGAAGACGAAAACAAGTTTGGAAGTCATTCCGAAGGAGCACACATTCCGGGGGAACTCTATCGATAATCATGAAAAATTTAGGGTCGGTGAGAACTTTGAACTAGAAACCAAAGATCAAATTAGCACTCTGAAGTTCTTTTCTCAACTGAAAGTAGCGTCACGAGAGCATAAAAATGATGGCGCACGGAAATGACGTAGCAAACATGTTGCGGAAGTTCTTGTGGTGGCTGTGCACCCCGATCCTAAGGGCACAGTGACGGGTTTGTGCACAGAATCTTCAACCTAGTTCGGTGAATCAATAAACTACACCTGCAGACTCTTAAATTCACTCATTTCTAGTAGCGATTCAAGCACCAACACAAACAGTCATCCTGATCTCAAAACCCTTATTTGGCCGTTGAGTGTGGAACGTCTCATCGGGTCTGAGATCCCCTTGAAGACGGCTGTAGATATTGTCTTTGGATCACCTGTATTGGGTGGGTTAAACAGGCATGCACCCAACGTCATATGTTTACAGACTCTAGGCGTAAGCACAAAAAAATACACCTACCTGGTCGAGTAGAAACAGGGCATTGGCAACGTCGACGATCTCGTCTATTTTGATGGCACAGTCTAGTTGCACTCGTTTCTTTATGTCATGCATCATTAAAGTGCCAAGCACATGTGTAGCTTCGATCAATAGCTGGCGGAATTCCGGAGTCGATACCATGGTACTGACTCGTTCAACAGCCAGAGCGAACTTGTGTTCTCCCATAGTCATCTACGGTGAACAAGGGGACGAATATGGGTTAGCGAACTACATGTACGGGTTTCGTGAAAAACAGCCATGGACACAGCTAAGTTGTTGAGACGGTAACTAACTTACTGAGCCAGAAATCAGAACATGCTGTTATCAGGTCGATGGCAAATGGTAGCAGGATCCGGCAACATATTACGTAGACACCGCGCCAAGCATTGAAACTCGCTAAACCTATTGCACAAACAGTAAATAGTTCGGAGTGCATCGACTGGGTGCGTGTATAGCGCCGCCGGGGACCTTAAGTCCGAAAATGCAGCTGAACTCCGGGTGACTAGTTGCTCCCCGTTTCAAAACTGTTAGAAACGAGTCCTCTCGATCATTGTATCAGCTACCACACAGCTACGATAATCTATTTATTGGAATCCTTATTTTAAGAACAAATTTAGAACCAAAGAAGCCTCGCGCCAGTCTATTAAGAGCAGTCTTCTGCTCTAGGTCTCCAGAAGTCAATGTGTGTAGAAAGCGACAGAAAGAGAACCACTAACATCCGTTCGGCATCTCCACAACCATATGGCAGGTTTCCACGATTCCGCTGAACTGTGTGCTTTGAAGTCAAAATGCAAACTGGGTGACGTGAGTAAGCACTGACTTGATCTATCCAATACACCAACATGCAGTAGTTTTCGCCACATGACTGATTGTTAGGGTCGATTTAGTAGTTTTGGGATGTAGTGTTGCTGATTGTCGGGTCGCCCTATCACTGTCGATTGAAAAGATGCCAGAGAAATAGTCTCAGGGTCGAATTACGGTTGAGTTTATTCGTTGCTTATCTAGTTGAGAACCTGCAGGTATTAGGATTAGGGCGTGGACTTCATCTCAGACAACATAGACATACTTCACGCGTGAGGCTGTTGCAGAGCACATGACCACCTATTATCAAACTTTCCACGCGACTCAGAACGACGTAAACACGTTCGTAGAAGCCAGGTGGAACACGATTTAAAGCCCCATCAATCTTCCTCCTTCGACTCCATAGGTTCCGCATTTCAGTGCCACGAATTTCGCGCGTCTCCTCAATGGTTGAGACTCGCGTTAGGGAAGGGACTGCGGCCAACAGAGTTCGGGGGTTGACGGACATTCGACGGGCAGCTAGTGCCTGCGCCGCCTTCATTTGATCGACAGGTGCATTACCAGAAGTCTTCATCTGAATAAGAGAAGGAGAGGTTAGCGTGTTATCCATTTTGGCTTTTTATGCTGTCCTAAAGCACGAAGGTGTCACAGTAAAAAAGCGACTTGATCCATTTCAACTCGATGGGAGAAGAACACGCGAAAAGTTGTCTTAATCAACGGTTTTCATCCAAAGTTACCTTCAACTGAGTGAACAGCGTGAAACTAGTAAATTTTCCCCTGGTTACGAAGTGGAATGAGAGAAAATTCAGCTTCCAAAGCTAGGCAACTCGCGATTCTCAGCAGCCGACTTCCACTTTCACAGCGATCGTAGCAGGTATGATTTTATGGCACTTTTCGTCCACAAATTGCCAAAAGTCTGGGGTTGCATCGCTCCTGACAATGTGTAGTGCTAACAAGAAGCGTCAAAGAACCCTGTTGTAACCCAACTTGTGATAGAAACCCACCGACTTGCACCGAACTTTTGTCGTCTCTTATCAAACCTGGTTTCCAAAAGCCAAAAAGGCAACAATATGCATGAATCAACAATGCACATGTTAACATCACCAATGCCAAAACCCATCGATAGGCATGTGCGTTCCTGAATATTCGGTTTGAAGCGTCGACGAATTTCTGTTTATGACCAGCAGCAACTTTCCTTAAGGAGAGTAACATGAGTGGGAGAAATTTATACCCTATGCTGTATATTCATGATCAGTTGGCATAGCTGTTCCGCTGGAGTTATCACCCATAAATTGACCGTTATAGTGACATTACTCAAGTTATTGTTCACAAACATCGCTTATTGCGGCAGATGTATGCACCATAGGTTTTAAGTATTGGTAGGCGAACCGGGGGAAAAAGAGCATCGGATTTTCCATGCGGGTAATATCTATCTATTCGCACACTGAATTGTCTCTGACTGGGAGTGTTGGTGTCTGTCCTCTACAAAAGTGGTCTATTTTCGAAGGAGCTTCTTCCGTGAAGTACGGAGTATAACGTTCACTATCATTGTGAGCTAATGCATAGGTTGTAAAGTCCACGTGGTGCATGTGAATCAGAGGGAGATCCCCGTGCAGGGAGCAGAGGGAAGACGATGAGTTGGAAAACTTGTGAACCACTGCCCTAGAGCGACCGATAACCAGCACTCTACAGGAGTGCCTGCTGGAATCAGGTGCTATAGGTGAGCGTGGGGACCGACTTGAGCAAGCTATTTCAAAGACCTGGATGGAAGTACATCATTTGGTGGTTATGGGGGGACCGATCCAAAGTGGTCTCTATAGCAGTTTTACCACACGTGAAAAATACAAACCTGCCTTCATGATTTGGCTTGGCAACAATCGGTCCTCTGGTATGTTGGGTGGGATTAAATTCGTGGCATGGCTACTCATAAGTAGTCAGATTCTCGGCGAACGAAATGCATGGGACAAAGAGCCTTGGTCAGTCCGAATCGAAGGGCGGCTTTCAGTACAGGAAAGTTTTGAAAACACCTGATTGATTTCTAGTTTCTTCCGAATTAAGAAACTCACACAACAGTGATCCTAAGTGGAAAGTGAAATCGTGGTCAACACTGTCCCAATGGCGTATGCGGCACGCAATGAGCCACCGAAGCGAATGAAAAACGCTCTTCTGTTGGGATCGTTCAACTGCAATTTATTTTTAACGAGGATCGGCTTGTGACACTCAAACAGAAGTGGATTATATTGAAGCTCGAGCCTTAGCAAGTATTGACTGACGGCTTGGCATCCGGAGCTTAAACGTGGTTTAACTCAACTTGATGTTGAATTGAAGGAATGTTGATTGACCACGCCATTGCATTGATGACTTGGGCAGTGCTCCCGATCAGGGCCAGACGGGCTTCTGGTCGTACGTTATCTTGTTTTATAGACGAAGGGGCTTGACTACTCAGGTATTATCATTGTGATGTTGGCTGCTTTTCAAAATCGCTTTCGTTGTCAAACGGTAAATTGCATGAACTAATTCATAGTACTTGCGGTTTAAAAAGGGAAAAACGACTTCATATAAAAATGCATAAATAGACAAGAACTTACGGTGGATTTTCGCCGCACATTCCGGACTGGTATAAAAAAACGGGAATCAAAGCAATGAGTAGTGGCGAGTCAGAATTAGTGCTGAGGAAAGTAGTATAAAATCTCATATGGGGAACTGCAGAGCTTACGAGTTTCAGTCAACATAGACAATACCAGTTAGCATTATGTACGTGTAATCCAGAAAAGACTCACCAGTTTTTACCATGCGAATTTCCTCTCCACTGAGCAAATTGAGTAACAAACGCTTGGTGTCGAACGGGCTCATGCAGAAAAGCCCATACAGCGAATCCTCTGCACTAACGCACATGGTTCGAGCGAGTTCCGCAGCCATCATTTGAATGATTAAACCTATTCTTAGACGCGAAATGTTATTCAGAAGTTGCGGTTTCGTTCGAGCTACCATGGATAAGTAGGTAAGCAGCTCCTGTAGGCAGGTGAAAAGTACAGTTGGAGTTAACGTGAAATCATCACCTTCACAAATCATCAGAGGGAAGTGGAATTGTGCATGAAAAAGATGGAACGATTTCCCCAAGAAGAAAGAATCCTTAGCACCACCAGTCGTTTTCGACTTGGAAACACTAAATCACTAAATCACTGCTATTGACCCGTTTATATTAAACTGATGACTGGAATATGTATTGAAGTAACTCCAATGAATTTCTCGTCAAAGAGACAAATTAACTACGATGTCTTTTCCAATGTCGGCAAACCTACTGAAACCTAAGAGGTCCCACAAATAGTGGACTTAATCCCAGACAGTAAAGGTGCACTACCACGTTAAACGACTGACGTTCCAAACATAAACTCCGCCACATGAACGAGCTCTTGTTGACTAGACTGAGGTTGGTTGGTGCTCTAAGCCCTGTTACGCGCACAGCACCATTCTTTGGAAAATTTCACAGTTCGAAAACGGGCTGATTGTAAAGAAGTCGAAAAACAGCATGAAACAAAGCACCAAAATTGTTTACTCTCAATATTTCGAATAATTCGTCTTTACATCAGAATAACTCTTCCTCTTATTTGATTGTTTTGCTTTGCAGTTGGCGTTACATTCTAGGTGAGTGACGTGAAAACTCTCCAATCGTCATAACAAATGCTCACTACAAAAGTTTACGAGAACGCGCTAGCCTGTCTTAAGCATGGATATACAAAGTCTGGTTATCTGTAGTAATCACTTCGGTCGAAGCGGGATAATCCGAATGAAACAAACAAGTGGCCATTTCTGCCCAAGAACCACGTGATCTCATGAGGAAGCACTCCCTATCGATGAGACTTTTTAAGATTGTTCAAGAAAAAAGTATCTCGTTCACTAGGTCTACATTTCTTAACAAGGAGGAATTGGGCACGAGAATGGGTGGTCGAATCTATAAACTCGATGGTCAGGACGACAAATTTTGGCTCTATCTTTAAACCGGAGTGGGCGTTTAGGCAATAAGTCGATTGTTGAAAACCGGATAGTTAACCATTTCGTTGCAGGTGTTGCATTAGTTTGGACGAAAATTTGAAGATTAACAAGGTTCCCCGTATAAAGTTTTATCCATCTATCGGCATCTTTGTGTCTACGCGGTTAACGTTAAACTGCGGGTAAGCTCGATGAATAAGAATAGGTAAGGTGAGGTGACATCATTTGGTGGAAGCAAGCTGTGATACCAAGCAGGATTGTTAGGTGTATGGAGTGAGCTAATCGAAGAAACGTTAGGGAAAAACTCACCTGGGTAAGCACATTCATCAATGCGTCTTCACCACACGCTTTTTGAATCAATTCGGCGAGTTGATCTGGTGGTAGGGGTGCGTCGATAATGATTTCTCTGGGCTCAGGTGGTAGGCCGATGGTGACTTGCTTTTGGCGCACTAAAATATCTGTCAACGATTTTGCTAAGGTGCTGGCTCGTTTGCCCAGTAGGCCAGCAGTGTAGCGAAGCAAAAACCAAGAGGTCAACTGACTCGCGCGTTCATAAGCCTTGAGAAGAGGGAAAATACCCTGCTGACAGACGCCATTCGTGAAAAGTGACAACGGTAACTAGGGTTATCCGATTCATTGGTTTCAGAAATTTGACACTAATCCAGACGAGCATAGATACCTCTTAGCTATCCGTAGCTATTCCTACGCAGAAAGTGGGCAGTCAGTTTGTAAGCAACTTACCTCTTTGAGTAGCATTCTCACGGTGGCCGCCTGAGTCGGATCGATTCCAGTGTCCCAGTCCAAACCACGCAGTTGTCGCAAGCGCCCTAGGATTTCTACTTGCTCAGCCAAGTTGTACGTATGCGTCAGGCGTTCGGCAAGCTGTTCGGGTGTGAGAGAAACCAGCCAATCTGGCGAGGAGCCACTAACCTCCGAAGTACGACGACTGTGTTCAGCGGATAGGGTACGTGGAGTAACGATTTCACCAGGTGAGTTAATCGAGAGAGAGCGTGATGACGCATGGGTGGGCGATAAGTGGGCGGAAGTTTGGGAAGACTGTTGCACGGATTGCTGTTCCCGGGTATTGGGTTCTGGGTTGAGCATCCGTTTTAAGGCTAGTCTGGATGCACTACATGTTAAATCTTCGGTCTCTGTCTTCTGTCGGAGGAAGTGAGACCCTCCTGAAAAGGGGAAACAAGTTGACAACCTGGTGGAAGTTCCGGTGTGAATTACAGCTGGAAAACGAGTGACATCTGATGATAATAAGGCAGAAAGACGCCTGAAAATTCCAACAGACGTAGTGCAACGGTCACTTTAAGGCTGGGGTATCAGGTGATGCCGTTGCTCAACACCATAAAAGGAATGTCCGGATTGAGTCAAGTGCTTATCGGAGCCCGAGATAACACAGTGGTTAAAGCACAAGCTTACTTAATTCTCAAATGAGTGTATCTCACAGATTGTGGACAATTCGGTGTTCAAGCATAACAGAAGGTTGATGGGAATTCAGGGACTTCGCCTACTTGATGAGCCACAGGAATGGCGGGACCGATAGCGGGCTGTCGAGCCAACCGTACGGCTAGGGTGCTCTATCAAAAGAAAGCCTGGCGCAGTCTGCGGCCATCTGAAGTGTATATTATTGGTTCCTCATGTGAGACTTGAAGACCATTTTAGGCCCGAGAATCAAATACAGGGTCGTCCGCATTCCCCTTCGTTCCATCCAGAACACCCAACACCACAGTATAGGAGATGCGGAGAGATAAATCCACCTTTCAGCAACAGTGTCGAGGTGCCGTTGCGTGTTATGAACGGTAGTGCAATTTCTGCGTCGGTGCTTGGAGTGGTGTTCCACCCAATCCAGTATATCAAAAGGCAGGGTAACTGGAGGCCACTTTCTACGGAAACAAAAGAAAACCATTACAGCTGTGTTTATAAGTTTGTCACAGAATGTTCTATAAGAATATGCTGGACTTTTGTGCGGGGTGGAGAACACGCCGAGCTATACATGATTGACCCTGGTTGGATCGGTTTCTTATCAAATAGAGCCTGCCTTCGTTTCCTCCATAGCTTGTACATGATACATCCATCCATTCGAAGTGGTGTTCAGTTATTTAGAGCGACTGGTCTCCGGACAGGTGCGCACCAAGCATGCGTACTCATCTCCACATCGGTCACTGAGCTACATGAATAGCAGTATTCACTGTCACCATCCAGATTGATTCGCAAATATGTTGAGGGTCAGAATTCGAAGCGGAGATGAACAACCTAGCATTCTGAAATTCATCATGGGGAAGTTAGCTTCCCTCCTGACTTTCTTATTTTGGAGAAGGAAAAACAATGAACAATTAACCGGGGGATGGGAAACAATAGTCGACAGTATGAAGTTTAACTAGTAGAATTTGTCTGACTAGAAATCAAATCGGATTACGAGTCACCGCAAAATGTCGGGGAATGCAGTATTCTTAACATTTGGCTAAACTAATCTCCAACAGGTTGGGGATGACAGAAAATTCCTAACCAAATGTGCCAGTCCTAATCGTGGCCGAATCAAGGTGGCCCTAAATGAATCTACTGCGCCATGTGCTGGCCAAATAACTAACTCTAGCCTTGGCAACGAGGCCGAAGAACTGCGACAAGTAACCGCATAAATGAGATAATTCCTAATCGAATTGAGGCGATGAGCCCTGCTTTTCCCACACACACTGTCTCGAACACGATTATCGAGACAGTGAACATTAAATTAAGCGTTAATAACTGATGCATAAAAGTAACCTAAGTCTATCGCTTTTTGTTATAAAAAATACCTCATGAAACAGTTTGATCTGAGCAAAATTAGAATACGGACTGAAAGACCAAAAGCTATTATCTTGATGTGGTGATCAAGCCTGAGTGCTTCGGCGATCCGGCAGATTATACTGGCTAGAACTGCTGCCCTCAAGAATCGGCTATTCGAAGGCAGCGGAATCGCATACTACAAATTATGATGTTAAGAGGCGATCACACTCCGCGGTAGGAGTGTGAGGCCCATAATTCGTGTTCCTCAGGCGGCTAGCATTTCCATATTTATGAGAACAGCGATGCTTTCTTCTCCCGAGAAGGATTGGATAGAAAAGGATGGCTCTTATACACAGTCTGATTTTCCAAGAGGTCGGCCAACATGATCAAAAAGCGACAGAATCCTGCAAAGAAGCACCAGTATTCGGACCTCCATGCTGTTCTAATACACATAAATTCAGTCACTCTAACAACTGTGGTTCATCTGGATAGAAAACCCGAGAAGAGTCACAGTCAAGGTCAGACACACAGATAAAAATAAACTGTTCGCGTATCCAGTGGTGTTTCTATAATGAGTCGCTGCCCCTCCTGCATAACTAACCACCTTCATGGCCATTCGCATGTGCGTCTGGGGCTTTCATCTCCAATTGTGCGGTCCTCACATCTCAATATCTACTTCAGTAGTTGAAAAAATTGAACCGTTTGGACCACTGTACGAACCACTGAACAGAGTTTACAGCCGGTGCTGAACTGGCAGAGCATGCGTCATGCTGGGAAGTCGTTTGGAATGCAAAGTAACTGCGGGAAAATGGATGACAGATCCCAACATGATTCACTATCTCTTTCGCCGATATCTACACGTAACAGGAGGATAGTTTGACGTATTTAGTGGATTCCGTACACTTTCTGTCCAATTAGAACGTGAGGTTGAGGGAATCTCGGGGAACGCGCTTGCTTGATGAGCCCGAAACAGAAGGGCGAAGCAGTCGCGGCCAATTTTGTGAGTACTGCTCCTTCAATTGAAATAAGAAGCACTTAGTTATCTGTGTCATCAACTTGGTACATCTCGATTCCATGTGACACAGGTATCATACAATGTATGTACTGATAAAGCATGTAGTGAAGTTTCCGGTGAATGCTTTGGGCGACCATCTACCTGTGGATGAATTTAGCCAATAGGTAACGAAAACACTATCGACGTTTTATCGAATACAGCTCTTGATGTAGTCGATTGGATCCCAATACACTGAAAAATGTTCAGGGAAGTGTAGCTAGAGAAAAACCTAGATTTAACACTGAACCAAAGTGTCACAGTGATCATCATTGACGGCAATACACCAGTGAAACATGCTGACGCTCAAGTGCCACTGAACCGAAAGTGGTACTTGTAGAAAATTCAGTAGATACAAGCAGAAAAAAGTTGTCTATTGACTCTTTGTGGATAAATAATATCACAAATCGGTGTCGTTGTAATGTTGCCGCATGTACTAGGCTAGAAAGTGACTTCGAACACAAGTTCATGACAAATGGACGTTATATACGGAAGATTAAGGAATTTATACACCGTAGTTTTGTATCTCAACTATGGAGCCAGTGCTAGGTAGATAACAGTATAGTGGTCCCGCCACCTAATCAACACCCAGGGATGGCACTGTTTCTAATACAACTGCATGGCTATACGCCTCACTCGCAATGTACAGACCATTAATCCATATGAAAAACGAGATAATAATATGACCGAACCTGTTTGTTTTGAAAGCCATCATATCTGGAAAAAGGAGAATGCTGGAATAGATAAATTGATCTGCTACCCATCTGGGAAGCAAGGTATCCTGATGCACATATTACGTCGAATTGCGGGATTCTATTTCTGTAGGCAATGGCTAATCTATAGAGATGTCCAGGAATTGGGTTAGAAATTTGCCACCGAAGTATTACGACAATGGTCGTCTTCGAAAAAGTTCGGGATGCACCGGATAAATCACGCTGACCGAGTCAAAAATGACTGACAGACAGACAAAGAGCAGTCTATGTGACATAGGAAGCAGGTACGTAATGGCAAGTTTATAGCAATAATGGGCGTCTCCTGATGTGTATGCCGAACTGGATGTTCATCTCTCCTACTGCTGACGAGCTCCTAATGACGTTTCTCCCTCTCTATACCTGTTGCTTAGGCTCGACAACATTAATCCAGATCATTTTTGACAGCCATCAGTCCCTAAACGGACATACTTTCATGCGAGGTGGACAGTTGCGCAAGCAGCGACCTTCTAGTACGATGACAAAAACGATAAGCACTTTTCAAAATAGTCCATAACAGTCAAATGGCGATTGGAATTTCCCAACAGTCTATCGATGCAAGAGATGAGTAACTATAATGATTATCTACATGAAACGCCCAACATTTGACGTATACACTTCGAGTTAATTGGGGGCCCTCATAACCAACAACGTACAACATAACATTACTAGGCCAAGCTACAAATCTCAGATGCTCCGATCTCACGCAGAGCAACTGTCCAAGGTCTAAGAGACCGACTACAAGCCAGTTGCCGCTTGTTTAACGGGTGATACGATATCGATCATGAGGACATGTTCGCTTATAGAGGTCAATGATCTTTTAAACAACCCAGGGGTCTACTATCTGTTCCACTCATAGATGTTTCGAGAATGGTTGACTAGAAATGAGCCGTGTTCAACGTCTTTTTCCGAAGTACACATCGCGTTGTGAATTTTATTACCTCCAAACATTCTCTACCAGTTTGGCTCATAGTATACTGGCAGTTAGTGTAATAACAGTATTTTGCTCACCTTAGTTCTCGACCTGAACCTTTCAAGCTAGCGTTTCCTTCAAAACAACCACCAAAGGGACACAAAGTATACTAACACCCAAAACCGAGTCAAGAACACTTGTACAGTGCATCATATACATAATGTAATGTAAGACAACTTTCTGAAAATTCTGACGTCTTCCGGATGCACCATCGGCAACCGGCATTCGGCCAATGTTAGATCCTCATTGGCTGATGGGTCCAGACTTTCGATCAGTCAGACCTCGGCTTGATGCCGGACCGGCAATTATCCCGAACTTTAGGCCAATCTTGTGCGGGATTGGCTTCTTGGCCGTAGCAGCGTCTAACTGCGAGCGGCAAAGCGGGATCCGTGTGGAATTCCTCCTAACAGTTAGTCAACCTCTGAATCCGGAACTAACAGTGCATCTCAAAGTTCGGAGCACACCCCAAGGTTACGCTAGTTTCTTTCTCCCCTAGGATGGATGTTCTGTTCAACCGTAATACGCGTATTCTTGAGTAAATAAACCCTACATTCTCATTTGTAGATGAGCTTGTATTTTTGTTACTCCATCTCGTGCTGTAAATGTTTGACTTGTTTTTTCTAAAAGATGCCGCTGGGCTATTCAAAAGACGACAGTGACGAATGGCTCTCCTTCCCTCACCCCTGTTGTCATCGGCGTTCACGGGGGTAAAATGAAACTAGAAAGGCCGAAATCGGATGCCATTGAAGATGATTACTGGTGTTCACTACACTGTATAGATTGTCGTAAGTAACTTATTGTACATAATGTAAGTGACCACAACTTTCTGAAAATTCTGACGTCTTCCGGATGCACCATCGGCAACCGGCATTCGGCCAATGTTAGATCCTCATTGGCTGATGGGTCCAGACTTTCGATCAGTCAGACCTCGGCTTGATGCCGGACCGGCAATTATCCCGAACTTTAGGCCAATCTTGTGCGGGATTGGCTTCTTGGCCGTAGCAGCGTCTAACTGCGAGCGGCAAAGCGGGATCCGTGTGGAATTCCTCCTAACAGTTAGTCAACCTCTGAATCCGGAACTAACAGTGCATCTCAAAGTTCGGAGCACACCCCAAGGTTACGCTAGTTTCTTTCTCCCCTAGGATGGATGTTCTGTTCAACCGTAATACGCGTATTCTTGAGTAAATAAACCCTACATTCTCATTTGTAGATGAGCTTGTATTTTTGTTACTCCATCTCGTGCTGTAAATGTTTGACTTGTTTTTTCTAAAAGATGCCGCTGGGCTATTCAAAAGACGACAGTGACGAATGGCTCTCCTTCCCTCACCCCTGTTGTCATCGGCGTTCACGGGGGTAAAATGAAACTAGAAAGGCCGAAATCGGATGCCATTGAAGATGATTACTGGTGTTCACTACACTGTATAGATTGTCGTAAGTAACTTATTGTGAACGCCTGCCTGGCACAAACACGAAGAACAATTAAAAAAATAACGATGAATTGGCACACGGTGAATCAAGGTGGGATTCGGTCAACAGATCACAACGATCCCGCGACTTGTCTCCAACCGCATGAGCGACACAAAACAATACAATGAGAAATGCAATTATGAGAAATTCAGTTGGCAACTCTCGTCAAAAGATATCAAATACTCTTCAACAAGCTACTTAAACGGGAGCAGATAAGGAGGAAGGGCCAATGGCACGCTGAAATTGCCTCCTCGACTGGTGAGGAAACGTTCGCAGGTTGAGTGTCAAGATTGGCGAACAGATAAATAGCCATCTGTTCAACAAATAGGTTCCGTAAGATCATATTTTGTTAGGTGCACGACAGCGATCGGAATTGAATACTTCTCGCCGGAGCGGAAGTTGAGCATGAAAGTTCAACACTTGTGGAATAGCCAAAAATATTAGTCTGTTAGGACTACTACTACACTCCTAATCATTTCGATTGTCCAGGGAACCGAGGGTATTTCAGGAAATAGTGGCGTTAGGCAAAAAACACGGAAATGGGTACAGGAGCAGATGAAAAATGAACGCAGGTACTTACCACTTTCGATTAAAGATTCCACCTCAGTGTCGGCCCAACTGAGATCCTGGGTGACGTCGTCGGGAATAAAGTCGTCTGAGTGGTGTGAAAAGATGACAAGATTCACATATGACTAGAATATCTTGAATTTTGCTTGGAGACAAACATGTTCCTCATTGACCCATATGTTCTCATAACTCTTCAGAACGATATTTTTATACCCGTTTGAAAATGGCTACTTGATGTTGGTCTGGTAGGTGAAACCTAGATCAGTGAAGCATGGATTAGCGAAGAAGCCGGTCATTTCAAGTGTCGCTCGCTTAGGCCTTGGAGGTGATGGCATATTCGGTTAGTTCGTGAACTGGGTAGCTACGCGTTGAAGGCGATAGTTTTGATGCACGAGCGCCACTGACTGCACGATTGGTCCGTTTCTGCCAGCGCTATTATCCATTAGTAAGTTGAGTACCGCGGTCCCCATCCAGGGAGGCGGCAGTTTCCGACAGGATGAAGCTTACTGGTTAGTGTTTTCATACTTCGCTGCCAAGTAATACACTGCCCACCTCTTTATCGCTCCCACTCAGCACAGGGCTTGGCGAAAAGAGCTATGTGAGGCGGAGAGTCTTCTGGCATATGGAGTAAATGTTCTAAGCAGTGTTCTATGAAGTGTGAGTAATTTATCTGTCACGGGAGAGTTCTTTCTTCCTAAGACCATTTGGCGTACCGATTTTCACACCAGACCTGACCAATGAGAGACCGATTGTCAAACGCTGATATCTTCCGTATGTCCTCTGCGCGTATAGATAGCGTTTTTACCCATAAAGCAGTATGGATCACACCGCCCAACCATACAACCTGCCCTTGACAGATAAATTGACGTCAGATCAGCGCTGTGGGTGTCGGAGGTTGGCAAAAGCTATCATGGCTTGTCAGATTCGAGAAATAATCTCATCTGCAGCCAGTCCGCCAGAACGTATGCGACTGCCAAGGCAAACAAATTTATCTACCATGTCGACTGGCTCGCTTGCAAGCATGAGGTTTGAGTTTAATCTCACAAAGTTTTGTAGCAACCCTTTACGCTTTGCAAGTGTGAAGCGCACGTCAAACCATGCGGCAGAGTTGTTTAGGTTATTTGAAATCGTCTATCTGAGAAGAATTTGGACCAAGGAGAACAATATCGTCTGCATACTCAATGTCTATGATCAAAGGTCCAGGAAGCGTTTCGACTCCCAAAGTTTTAGAGGCAGGCAAAGAAATTTCATGCAGCATATCAATAACAAAGTTGAAGAGGAAAGGTGGGAAAGGACAGCTTTGCCTTACACGACTGGGTCTGGTGAACTCAAGTGAAAGCTTGCCGCATACTCGTACGCGCCCATAAGGGTTCGCATACAGTGCCTTCGTAAGGGATAGAAATTTGGAAGGGACACCTTTGATCGCCAGATACTGCCGGAGTTGCTGACGATCGACAGAATCAAAAGCAGCTTTCAAATCCAGAAAAGCGACCAGCGTGGGACGTTCAGTTTAAGACTAGGATGAGGGTATTGTGTAGGCATCAAATCCTTCAGGAGGATAAACTGATACTGCAGATTATAGTTGAAGCAATTAATCCGCTAGCTAGCTTTTTTGTTTGCCTCTAGCATACCGATGAAAAAACGGATTAAGATCGAAAGGGAACGGAGATGCTACACGGCCATGGAAGCTTAACACATACCTCTTTCACGGTTAATCAGATCCAAATTAACAGCACGTGCCAGAGCCATTGACTTTCGCCGCATGCTAAACCGCTGAAAGCTGTCCTGGTCATAGTTCATACCAGCAGATGAGCCAGAAGTTGGGCTCAGATTTCCCGTCCCTTCTTCCAAAAGGGCGCGGTCGAATCCCTCCAGTCGACTGGTCGCTGTTAACCGGCGCCGTTGGGGCGAAGATGAGCTCAGATCACTCGGCTGAAATATCGAGTCTAGAAGGATGATGGGAGACAGAGACACTCATTTAAACAATCAAACTCGGATATGAGTCGATTATCCTAAATGCAGTGATTAGTCAAGTTTGTTAAAAAACTGTGCAGGATGATCACAAATTATGTACAAAGCACACGAATGTGAGTTGTGAAATAAGTGCTGTAAACGTGAACAAGTCAACGAGGTTATCGAGTAAATGAAATCCAGATGGATTAGGGCGCAGTATGCTAAGATGGCATCCGATTCCATATTTCCTTATCACCTTGAACTGAGCTGGTGGAAGCCTGCCAACAGTTAGTGCTACGAATATTGAGCTGCGTGTGGAGTTAGCTGTGTGCTCGGAACTCGGTGTAAACCTGGGGTAACAGAACCCGAAGGTGAGTTGGAAGGTGCATACATGGATAAAGTACTCTTTTACTAATGGGACTTCGTAACAGGACCAGTAGATTCAATTCAAGTGGCGTTCGTCACGATTCAGATAACCAAGATTTTGCCTTTGGTCATGCGATCGTAACAGAGAGGATGATGACGGAGGAAGATGGTTTATCATCTCTGATGCTCGTTCACGGCATGTTCTCACACACTGAATCCTCGGTAACGTGCATGCATCGAGTGATTTAGCCCCCCTGGTAAATGAGTGTCAGTCAGCTAATGTGTCTATTTCACTGCATATCTTACTTTTCCAACCATGGGATGAATTAGTCAGGAGAGAAAGAGCTGAGTCTTTTATGCAACCTGCTCCAACGTCTTTGGCACTGCCGCTAGATAAGATGACATAGCTGAATGGTGATGTGAACCGATTATTCCAACTTCCGACTCAGTACTATTGACGTTCTATGTAAGCTGCAGCTTCTTAAAAAACAGGCCACGGGATGCGCGAAAGAAAAACTTTTAGTTGAAATTAGCGAATAACAGTCTCTTAAATAACCAAACATGGGAAGTTGTGTTGACAATCACTGAGACAAAAAAAAAAACCGGACCTCATCGTATAGGACAATGGAACCCTAGTGCACGGTTTTTGAGTAAAAGCGATGTGCACCGCAGAACTTCCAAATGTCCTCCGATCTCTACTAAAATAACCGCTCTAACATAGACAAATTCAGCTGGCGTTTCCGAGGGCTCAACACAGCGGTCAATTAACTCAGGTTTCACAGCAAACTTACTGCGGTACCACTGCATGAATTCTTGACGGACTGGACTCACTTGCACACCAAATTGGTCTTAGTGGGAAACTCAACTGAATCCGACTGAACAAGCTGCACAAAGACCATGATATACGATGTGAGTAGCTTCATTCAAAAACATCTGAACGGATTTAGACGTTAGCCTTGCCCCCAAGTAAGACGGAAGCCCCGTTGGATGAATATGTTAGGGTGGGTTCGACTGCTTCGAGTCACAAATTTTCACCACACGGAGATGGAGCGCTATCAGACGGCAGTTCAAATTTTACGGCGTGTGATTCGCTTTCGGTTGAATGCGAAGTACAGTGCGTACTGCTGTGCTTGCAGCATAGTTAATTGCTTGCTGCGAAATTAAGCGATACCGTTTCTTACCACCAAATACAGAGAGATCGCCGCATGAATCAAAATAACCAACAAAATTGAACTTGGAGTTTAAACGTGTTTATTCAGTGATCCGGAACATACAAGAGTTTTGAAAGTTAGGTTTAGCCCTCGGTCGAAAGCATATCAATAGTTCGATTTGAAATTCCGAAAAATAAAAGAATGGGTTCAAAAAGGAAGCGATGCCCTATGAAGGGGCGCTTTTCTATGTGCTATACACGAATAAATTTGATCGACTTTGAATTGACTTACCTGTTGAGCCTAAGAAATTCAACTGCTTCAAACTTGACGTTTCTTCAAAGGTTTTGAGCGAACCAAGGATGACTCTGTGAAGGTATCAAAACATGGCGCGAGCATTCATTAACAAAATGTACAGCTAGTGTACGATGATCTCGCTGGTCTAGGGGGAACATCTACGGATATTTCAAAATACCTCTTCGACAGGCACACTTACTCGTAAGGAGACAACAATGAGAACCGTATCACCCATCCTATGCACCAGGTAGTGAGATCTTATGGGGAGAGTTAAGTGTCAAGCGTGGTTGAATTTTTCACCTCATCCTAAGCGAATGGGTAATACGTTCATTGCACATCCGTGAATGAAACACACCGGAAAAACGCTCTAAATCCTTTAAGAACTGGTCAGTCCCCATCGTCCAGCTCATCAGTAATACCTCTCATGTATCAACGTGCAATTAAGAACCACCAAGCAGGACAGGTCGTCAATAACACATATTTTCGCGCAACAACGAAAACAACGGTACTACTTATTAGGAACTTGGTAACTAAGTGCACTGTAGCGAGTTCTTCAATCGCCCGTTTCAACCAGATTACCTTAAACCAACACTGAAACCGTAGAATATTCCAACGAATGGTGCTGCCTGCGCAGCAAACGACCATTAATCGGCAGTGAGGTTAACAAGAGTTCATTGGTGAGGTGGAATAATGAGTGCCAAGGTGTTTGCAGCAACGGTCCATTTATAAATCTTGGTTAATCGCTGCTGCGTCACGACGATGAAGGAACTGAAACCGTCACCATATTATTCATCCACACTTAAACTTTCAAGCAACCGGTCGGTTGCGTAACGGATATTAAAAATGTCAACATATTCACGGCAAAATGGCAATTGTTCTCAGTGACTTGTCTTGAAACATCCAGTTCAGTCCCACTCAGTAGATGCCAGCTAAAACAACAAGGTAAGTCCATCACTATGCGGTTTCTTTGCTTGTATGTGGTACAACACAGGAATCGATAGCAAAAGCGCATCGTACCAGTAGTATAGGTGATTTGGGAGTATGGGAAAAATAGTGTAAGACTGTCTGACAGATACAGTCAATGGTTTCGAACAAGGGCACGTTAGTAAGAGGGTATGCAAAGCGTTATGAGGAAATCAGTCAATTGCTAACCTAAGAGTTGTGCACCCTTGATTTTCAATCTGTCCAAACATTTCTTCAAGCCGCCATCTAGCACATTTGTAGTTTGAAAGTAGCATACGCTGTTGAGTTAAATAATGTCACGAAATATGGAAAATAAGACCCTTGCTCATATTGTGGACTTCCGAGACTCACACATGTGAGTGCTGAATGAACAGACTGAGTTAGGACAAAATTATACGCGCTCACTGAATGAACCCGCGCTTTAGAAGGTCGACAGGCTTTGTTGAAATGCAAAAATTCAGCCTGACAAAGTCGCTCACGAGCAGCCTACGTTTGCCGTCATCGAACAGAAGTGAGACAACAATCCCTAAAACCTTAATGGTATTGATGCGAGTCGGATGGTTATGGTGCCATAGTGGAACTAATCGACACATCTTGACATGATTTTACAGTCACAATAAACAAACCAAGTGGACCGTAGCAGCGACCGGAAGCGGTTGAAATATATTCACGGCTAGGCGTAACAAACACGCGTGTTGGAAGGTCAAGAGACAATCAATTATTATAGTAAACAGTCGCCTGGACTACACTACCTGCGCTGCAACGGTATAATTCGACTACGCCGTCAGTCCATTGACGCCTGCCTTACATCACCTAAGTAGGTTTCTCCACCTCACGCGGTCCACATCTTATTCCAGCCATTTTATTCACGCGACGCCCACTGCAGCTAGAACCCTCATTTGCAGGTCAGTCAATTAGTGGGTTAGGCGATAAAAAGAGGGGGTTAGAGAACGACGGAGGAGAAGATTATTCGTAGTGATTCAATTCACAACATCGTGGTACGAAAAACTGAGAGTTTGAGATGAATGTGGACGTATAGGCGACAAGGGCTATGAACATGAGACTCGTGGGATCAGTAAATTTCGAATAAACGGTCTAAACACTTATCGCTAACATCAACTTGACAATGCGTCGATAAAGACCACGGCAGTGAATTGAGACCTCAGGAAAGAACATGAAAGTGTTCCCATGACAGATGTAATCAAACCTTCGAAAAATCAAAATGTGCCGCGCATATAAGATCCTAGCAATCGGACGGAGGCATGAACTCCTCACAATGTTGGCTAAATGCTTGGTGAGATGTGAGCTAACCCAATAAGATCCCCGACAATTGACCAAGTTTATAATGTTCGGGGACACTGCTCGGGCTTCACTTCTTTGCTACAATATGAAAAACACCACAATAAAGCTGTACAAACTGAAGTGGCTGGTTCAAATGAAGAAAAGCAGGATAGAAACTGGGAGCAAGATCAGTGGTCGATGTACCAATCAACCAAAAAGAATGCTGTGTTCAGCTGTAGCACCCCTTCGACGCATAGCTGCCATGTCACCTGAAAGAAGCACGAGGGCTGTGGTACTGCTGTAAGCTGGCGCCTTAACCACTGGACTATCTCGAGAATGGGCAAATATGAAGTGTTCAGCTGTGACAGCCTTGATGATGATAGTATTGATCGTAATCGCTTAATTTTAACACCTCTCAGTGCCTAGATGCTATGAAACCTGAAGGAAGCACCAGGTTACCCAAGCCTAGACAGGAGTAGTCAAGATGCCGAGGTAGGGTTCAAACCACGGACCTTCCGAGACTTAACCACTGAGCTATATCGAGAATAAGACAGCTGAAAGGAGCTGCGATACCATTTTTCCGTACAATGAAGACACCACTCTAGTGCTGAGAACACATTTCTTTCCAGAAAAATAATGAAACCAGTGTGTTAAAGACATTAGTAAATGGGTATTTCGATTGATTCCAACCGACCATGGGAGACATAAATGACGACACGCCCAGCTCTGACATCTTAGCCTTACAAATTCAAATAGGTTGCAACTGCCAGTGTGTTCCTTGTCTGAAATCAAACGCCCAATTGTGAACTGGATTTGTGTCAATAGGAGATTCGAATGAATCTCTCTTGTGTAGTTACTCGCGTAGCATGAATGCACACAACATTGCATGCACTAAATTTAGACGAAAAAAAACACTCACTTTGTACCATTAAGGTAACCAGTGGCCATTTTCTTGATGGTGGCAAGAAGTGTCGGAGGCATCTGTTTGGAGTGAGCTATATGGATGGAGGAAATCATGTAGAGATTAAAGAACCGTTCATGGCTGTGAAGTGCAATCAGCACGATATGACGAACCGAAACCAGTGAATCCGGGTTTAGGGGTGATAATGCCTGCTGATTTATGACGTCTGAGTTCCCAAGCAAGAAAATTTGAGGCACTCCTCATTTATTGACTAGTAGGCAGGAACGCAGTACGCACTTATTTCCTGAAAAAATAAGTTCTGTAAGACCAAATTCATTGCAGGACTAGAAATTCAGTTTCTAAATTAGAACCTGGAGCAACAAAAATGCAGAATGACTGTTCCTGATCAACAGAATGTCTGGAGAATGTCCGTGCTGACAGGTGGTCGTTACTGAACTTGCTTATAAACAGCAAAACTGTTGATCACAATGGCGGAAGATAAAGTCAGGTCCGTAGTATGGCTTAACCAGCATCATGCCATCAGGAAGCAGAAAAAAACCAACAGAGCTAGTCTATTGTTTAAATAGTCCAACTCACGCAAACCAGATGAGGAAAGTGATACGATCTCGCCACACACACACACACACACACTAAAGGACCGATGTGGAAGCATGGACCTACATAATCGGCTTACCCGAAAAGTTCTGTTTCGAAATAACGGGGTATTCAGATGGTCTTCTCAGTCTACATTAAACCATTTTTGAGAAGCTTGAGACATCAACAGCACACAGTCATATGGATGGCCCCATTCTACACATGGCTAAATGTGGTCACACTGCAAAAATGGTAGAAAATAAGAGGTCCAAATCAGTGAGTGTGATCAAAAGTATGTACAGTGTATTCTGGTCGTACGGAACTAATATCAAAGTGTTTTGGAAAACAGATGTTTTCTATTCCCATTTAGAGTTTACTTAGGGATTGCGCACCCCAAAGCATGTTGTGCACTACAAACGAAGCGTATCAGCTCTGATCTCGATAATAACGACATGGCCATTATCCGAGTTGAAGGATGAACTCAAAAGAAACAAGATGACTTTATAAGGATTTCACGTCTAATGGTCTGAGTGGGCCAAAGAGAAACGCTTCCCCTGTAAACCAATTCGAAATGAGTGAGCAGTTCCGATAATGCCATCGAACGGGGGTAGTGGAAGTAGTAGAAAGGGGATATGACTATCTCAGCTGATGAAGACTTCGAGATGTGAAATGATGGAAGCCAATAAGTTCAAACATTACGCTTGATCTGCAACTCCTTAGACGTGAAGGAGCTAAGAAGAGCATCGTTTTTAACGCAATACAAACGTCCTGCTTGTATTGCGTTAAAAACGATGCTCTTCTCAGCTCCTTCACGTCTAAGGAGTTGCAGAGGTCATGCGGGACACGGAACAATAACGTGAAAAAAGTCCAGTTAGCGATTCTCACCCGTAAACAGTGTGAACTGGATAGCATCGACGTCTTAATCTACTGATGAGAACAGTTTCCCGACTTCGCATTGGCGGAGGTTTTGAGTTTGAGACGGATTATACGGACAAGGGGTATCAAATTAGATGCATCAAAGTGCGACGAACATCATACCTGCTGCAAGAAGTAACCTTTGAAGTGTTGCCAGTATACTACAATGAGAAAACTCACTCGAGCGGAAGAATCGGTGATAGATGGGGAAAATGAGAAGCGGTCGACCCGGACTTGTCCATGCCCGTTTCAGGAAGGCAACGCAAGTGCGGAAACAATCCAAAATGAAGTTGATGTCCAGATTCAGGTAGAAGGCATGGTGATCAAAAATCTGAACGAGTGAAAAGAAAATGCGCCAAACTGAGTGGACAGATTAGAATAAGTATAACGTCCTCGGGGGAAAGTGACTTGGTTGCAACTAACCTGGGGTATGAAAGCCACAGTTTGGTCGGTTAATCGGTAAAACTGGCTTGTTGACAAGGTTCCAACTTCTTTGTTAGACCGCCCACCAAGAACGAGTTTATCGCAAACACCTGGAAATTCGTATAATACATGAACAATACGCGTGTGAACAGCCAATCTTCAATAGACACGATTCTAAGAAAGATTCTATAGGCAATCGCGTGTCCGTCAAAGTGTACGACAATGTAATTAGTTATTGTCCAAGTGACCTACACTGACTAAGTTGGTAGTATGAACCTGTTTACCTGTATCCCGGCCTTCACATAACTAGTTGTTGTTGTAAGACACAAGTGACATGTCAAGCACAACAAACAGTCCATCTTGAACAGGAGCGTCAATGAGATCTGGGAAACTAGGAGACAGGAACAAAGTACCATTTATTTCTTAATGTTTGAAACTGTGTGCGCAGCTCGTCTGCTGTTTTACACAGGATATTATTGCGCTCCGACGCGTCCTACGTTTTAAATGGTTTGAGACAACCAACCCTCAAGAATGACTTCGACGTGAAATGCCGTACAATTCGGTAGGATTTGGGCACTTTAACGCTCCTAGTATTGTTTGATGAAGCACAGCCCAGGAAGTTCCTTAAAGTGGTAAACGGCCCACCAACAGTATAAATGAATGGAAGTACTTGCCAACGCGGCGATGCCACCCAACCAGCAGTGATTAATAATCACTAGAATGACATTATTTTTCACTTGTTTTCTGCACTCGCAGCTCCTCCATCCTATCCTGTCAGTTGCCATAAACTGCGGCGAATCGAACCACCGTCCACACAGACATGATTCACGGTCATCAAGCTAAACTGAACCAAATACCCACCAAGCAACGACCGACTTCGCCCTTTTTGGGGCTCACCAGGTAGGCGCAGTCCCCGGGTTTCGGTCAACCTTATGTCCTACTTGAAACCAAATTGCACGAAATTAGCGAATAGATACTCATTTGCAAACTAATTTGGTTTTTTAGAGGGACTCACCTGGAACCCAGTTGAATCTCTCGTTTGTGATATTCTCAGGCAACTGAATGTGCTGCACCAGGCCGCCTCATGTTTCAGTCGCTACGATATTCGAGATATCGCCTCAAAAAGTGCGAAACCGGTCGTGGGCTATCGACGAATTTTCAGCAACCTTATGAGTAGCACATTACAAGGATATACATGTATCGCGATATCTCGAATATCGTAGCGACTGAAACATGAGGCGGCCTGGTGCAGCACATTCAGTTGCCTGAGAATATCACAAACGAGAGATTCAACTGGGTACCGGGTTCCAGCTGAGTCTCTCGAAAAAAAAAACAAATTAGTTTGCAAATGAGTGTATATTCGGCAAGTACCCACCAATTTCAGGAGGGTCATCCTAACCCATCGCTGAACAGGCCACACAGTCTACTGAAAAGCGACAACGTTCAGGAGGCAACCTACCCAACTGCTTGTACAGTTGACTGAGCACCTTGGCCGGGTAAATATGAATTCCCGCCTCATTGTAAATTTCCGCAAACGTTTGCGCATCGATTAGATGGTCAAGCAAGGTGCATTTCATGGAGTCATCTTCAGCAACCAGAACCACTTGAACCGATAGATCCGGTTTGGGCTGCGTTAACTGTGGGTGGAAAAAAGGAGAGAAAAATACGATGATGCTGTTTACGTATGGCACGTATATCACAATCGAAAAAAACACAGAGTCGGTGACAATTGACAAAAGTGGAAGACACACCAGATCGACCATAAGGTTCGTACCGTTCGCTTATATTAAGGAATGCAGTTTCTGGATGCAGTCACATCAAAACGCGAAAAAAATGACAGAGAATTTCACCAACAGCCTAAGTGCTTGGCTTGCTGGAACCAATATAGGATGCAAGCGCAATCACCGAGAGGTCAATTAAATCTTTGAAATTTGACGCCCCGTACTTGAACGTGAGATCTGGGCGGAAGATCCTTTATGAAAGGTCTGAATTTCACCACCTAAGTGCTTGGCTTGCTGGAACCAATATAGGATGCAAGCGCAATCACCGAGAGGTCAATTAAATCTTTGAAATTTGACTGACGGTACTTGAACGTGAGATCTGGGCGGAAGATCCTTTATGAAAGGTCTGTAAGATAAATAAGCAACTAATATATATATATATATATATATAAAGATGACTGTCTAGCTTTAAGACACTTTCGGTGCCTAGCTGCCATGCAACTCGAAGAAGGAGCGGGGGCTGAGGTACTTTCAAGTTGTCCAAACTTAGACAGGAGCAGTTGAGGTGCAACTGGACATAATTCATAGACTGTGAGACGAGCAGTTCTTGTTATGATTAAAAGACCAAGAAAAAATTCACTGAACGAAAAGGGGAACTCCTAAAGGCGCCAGTGCCGGGAATGACTGACAGGCAGAGTACATAGTCTAAGAGTACGAGTGACAAAAGCATAATCCACCACCATTTATCTTTTTTGAAGTTCAGGGATGACTGAAACGACCGGAGCTAGTGGCCACAATGTCTTTTAGCATCTATGTAAAAAGTCTGCGATGCTAATTGCAGCACTGGAAGGCTAGTAGGCACAGTTACTACTGATACAATATTATCCACTTTGTGTGGTGGGGCCTAAAGCCCTCAAAAAGAACCCAAACATCAAACCAGTCGAATACGAGAGATGCAGACCACAATGCAACACAAACTGTGAACGGACCAATAGGGTTACAGTAGAAATATAAAAATTGGCCGATCGGATGAAAACATTTTCGGTACTTTGCATAGACGTAAAACATCATACGCGAGAGATTCGGCTGGGCCTCAGGTGAGTCACCTGTGGGATTGATATGCTACTGAGCCTATGTCACATCCGAGAGTGTAAACGATGATGCCTCTTCGAATGGTGACGAAAACCTTTCAAGCTAATAGCCAAGCTCGGTGATCAACGGCCACCTGGCTAAACATCAGTGAACGAACCTTATCCACCCGTATTTGACAGATTGCCAATTTGTACTTTTATCAGGAACCAGGAATATGGATGTTGTACTGCCATGCTGGCGGAAATTTGTGCACTATGCTATCTCACAACTATTTGGTTGCTTTGTGTTGAATCCGCGGACCAGGCCGATAAAAGACGAATATTTTAGTGTTAATCAAAAGTGAGATATCGCTGAGCCGAACGGCGTAACAAGTCACTGTACTTCTGCATCAGAATGCCAACATAAGGGTTATTCTGCAAACAGTAGCATACAGCTATGGAACTCGCACAGCGGCGTTCTGGAAAGAACATGCTTTGAACTGAATAAATAACAATCCAAACAGTATTGCATTGGTACACGACTTTCGCAACGGGGGTGGTGGTTGAAGATGGTTGTTAAATAGGGCTGGGATAAGAACACAGCCCTGCTTCACTCTGGTGTCGATTTCGAACTCGTTCAAGGTAGTCGCGCAATTCCGAACCGGAGCCTTTATCTCAGTGTGAGGCCTCGATCAGGTTGACATATATGTCCGAACAGCTAAGCTTTCGTAGGGTACTTCAAACTGCTTCTGTGTTCAATAAGTCGATGGCTTGAAGCCCATAAACAGCTCACAGAGAGGTTGATTCCGTTCACATTTCACTTGGATTTGCTTTGCGGCAAAAAATAGGTCGATGGTAATTCGATTACTCCAAGATCTACACTGCCCCCAACGGGGTTCCAGATATCTCAGTGGTTAAGGCGCCAGCTTACGGGCCGGAAGGTCCGTGGTTCAAACCCAACCTCACTATCTCGATTGTTCTTGTCTGGGCTTTGGTAACCTGGTAGTAACCCAGCCCTCGTGTCTGCTTCCGCTGGCATGGCAGCTAGGCACTAAAAGGTTGCTACAGCTGAACAATTATTACTTATTTTATTATTAATACTGCTATTCAAGAACATCTTCCTCAATAATGTCAGCGACTAGTCGGTTGAGCAGCAGGATACGAGCCATAATGTTGTCTGCTGTGCACAGATGATTTCGCGGTCCGTCTTCCCTCGATTTCGTTCCCGATATAGAGTTGCTGCTGTGTCCTTCGTCCATAGAGGTTTTAGTGCTTTTAGTTGGATTTTGGGCCAGTGCATTTGTGAGATTTCCGATCGTTTTGACAAACGTCAAATTCTTCTCTGTAACGGAGGCGAAGTCATTCGCACCAAACCAATCTCGTCTCTGTCCAGGATTGGATGTGTCCGTCTTCAGAACCACTGGCTTTCGGGTGTGCTTGGGTGTTGGTTATGTACCAGCCTTTGCATTAGAGCTTCAAAGGTGCAGTCAAAGCCACCCCCACTAGTTTTCCTTGATCAGCCAGCCTGGTCCTGTCGGGTGCATGGACGTCTGTCCTGTAGCCTTTGAGTTCTTTTTCAACAAGAGGATATCGACTCTTAGTCCTGTCTCCTTCGTCCTCAACCAGGAAAGATGTGTTTTCTTTTCTTTACAGTCAGCGTCATGCGCCGGGAGGTGACTTCTGTGCCTGCTAATAGGGACTTATTTCCGGTATCCCCTCCAAAGCCTTTGACTTCAAGGTCTGACTTACAAGGCGGCGCGGGATGACCTAGCGTGAGGGCAAGGCACTGTGCACAGTAAGTGTCTTTTGAGCTCGGAGGCGTTGATCGTGGATAAATTCCCGTGCTACTCCCAAATACAAAGCTCAGCTTATGCTGCGGTGCCGTCCGTAAGAGACGCTTTCGATACTACTCCGATACTCAAGGATGACCGAAAGGTGTGAGAAATGCCGAGTTTTTAATGTGGTAGAATGGCAGTCAGTGTTTTGTTTTACTGGTGCTGTGTCGCTTCAGGAAAAACAGGTCTCATGTCAGACCGAACCAAGGGAGGATTCTGTCCGGGAAAAGATTGCCGCATTTTGAAACGTCGCTACAATTTTCAGTAACCAACCACCGCTTACCTCATTGACATGTGTAACATGCGTCGATAAGGAATATTTCTAGTCTACCTTGACGAATAAACAATAATAGTTTAGCTGTCACACCCTTCGGGTGCCTAGCTGCTATGCCACCCAAAGGAAGAACGAGGGTTGGAATACTGCCAGGTTGCCCAAGTCTACACAGGGGAAGTCGAGAGGCAGATGTCGGGTTCGAACCACGGAACTTCTGGTCGGTAAATTCGCGCTCTAATCACTGAGTCATCTCACCCCTTATCCTAC